TGCAGTCAGATTCGGGAGCTCACCTGAGGGATGACTCCTGGCAACAGCTCTTGAGGCCTCCCTGGCACAGGCCTCTCTAATGGCCTGGTAAGACATGCTGTCTCCCTGGATGTTAGCAGCCTTCCCTGCGCTAAGCATTCAGATCATTTGAGGAAAGTGAGGAAGCCCTAAAAGACCTGTCAAGGGATGACCTGCTTAAGTATTAATTAACTGTGTCAGGGAGGACTTAAAATCTGATGCCAGGATGCTGGGCACTCCTTCCCTTTCTATTCATAATCTACATTAAGCTTCTGGGCTGGTATTTTGAACTTATACTAATGTTACCCAATATGATTCTTTTGTCCTCACCATTAGGAAAATTGGCCTTCATTGGAGAAGAAAGTATTGATATGTTAGGCCTAGACGCATAGAGCATGTCTGTATTTAACGAGTCAGTGCCAGTGTCCCTAGTAGTTACCTTCCTGTCTCAATTATGGAGACACTGCAATCATTAGTTCTCAAAATCTGCTGTGCATCAGAATTATTTGATGCCTTTTTAAAAACCTCAGATTTGGTCGGTCTTGGGTGGAGCCTGAGAATACGAATTTCTAACAAATTTCCAGATGATGCTGATGCTGGTGACCTAGGGACCACACTTTGAGGACCACTGTTCTAAATACTCTGAAATACCAGTAGTATTTAGGTAGACATTTGGTGATTTCTTCAGTGACTTGCAACATGGCCTTTAGTTTAGAACTGAAATGGGCTGGGTTTAAGAAAGATGGTGTTGTCCAAGAAAGTTAGGAACTCCATGAATTTTTATTATTTTAAAAATATTTTTTATTGATTTTTAGAGAGGGAGAGAGGAAAGGAGAAGGAGAGAGAGAGAGAGGAACATCGATGTGAGAGGTTCACCCCACACTGGGGATCAAGCCCACAACCTAGGCCCTGACTGAGAATCAAACCAGCAACCTTTTAGTGTACGGAACGATACCCAACCAACTGAGCCACACTGGCCAGGGCGGAGCTCCATGAATTTTTAAAAACGATTGTGGTGTCTGGGTTTTGTTGGCCTGGGTCTGGCCGGCTGTTTGGAGTTGGCTGGTTCCAAAGGATGAAGTGTGTTACCATGGTGATATTCTTCCCCATGCAGGAAGGCCCCAGAGGTTGGTTTTCCGCAACTGACCATGTGTTTTTCTCATGGTTTTTCCCATGAGGTGCTGCAGGGTTCCATGCCATCACTCCTGGTTGGTGTTCCCAGAAAGCTTCGGATAGTCAGGAGGCTCCGGGTCCCCTCTTCATCCAGCCTGTAAATAAAGTGAGCTTCCTCTGTCAATCTAGGGCCCAGTGTGTTGAGGGCAATGGATTAGATTAAGCTCATTTGGGTACAAAGCGGAAGTGGTTGGCAGGGGCATCCCAAGGCTATGGGAAGGGTGCTTTCCGCTCCCTTAATTAGCAGCTCTTGCCTTGTAGAGCTGTGCTTAGCTAGGGAAGGCATGCCTCTCCTTCAGCATTTAGCATGAAGGTTATTACCTGTATGGAAGCAGGGCATGGCAGAGATGTCTGTGGCACGTGACTGCCGTGGGATTTCTTTGTTCTCCTGCCAGGGTTCTCCTTGAAGGCCACGCAGATATCCTGGTGTTCTTCCCTTAGGGTATAGCACACATGGTGTCCAGGTGGCCACAGCTCAGCAGAGGACAGTTCAAGGTGTGGCTCTGCATACCTTGTGGGTTGAATTATGGTTGCTGTAGGCCCTCTCCTTTCCTGTGTACATCTCTGCAGTTGAGATAGACCAATCACAGGACCCAGGTTTGAACATCAGGGGACATCACAGTCAATTTTTAAACAGGGGGCTTTTTAAAATGCTCCCCTGAAGAGTTTCTCTGGAGTAGCTTTATGGTCACATTGGGCCAGGTACCAAGCTGCTGCTTACCGGCGTCCACCTAAGAATGGAGCGGAAGCTGGGACGGACAGGATAGGCACTGGGCAGTGTTTTACTGTTTAATCCAGGTTGGCTAGTTACACCTCGACTTTAGGAAAGCTTATTCCAAGTTTGTGTGACAGCCTTAGCATGTGATTTAGGACTTACATGAGATTATGCATCTCTTGTTGTGGTGGGTATTGACCTCGGGGGTCCTGTTCTATTGCCTGAATGGATGAGCAGGACCAGAGATAAGAGCAGATTCCTAAACATGAAATGTTCAAACTCAGTGGGTCTGAAGGGAAGAGAGGAACATTTATAATCCTGTACGTGTCAAGTGCCTGATGTATATTCTTATGTAATCCTTGGAGCATCCAACTAGGACTTTTTTGGCCCATTTCACAGGTGGGGAAACTGAGTTCTAAGAGGTCAAGGAGTGATCTGTCCAAGGTCACCAACCTGATTAGGGAGCACTTTCCATCTCACCTGCCTAAAATAGTGTCTTCCACCAGATTTTCTTTCTCCATTCCTTCCCACAGATACTTTTCCAGGAGTATTTGTTTCCTGAACCAATTTTATGGGAACTAAGGGCTATTCACTTTTAAGAAGCTAAATCCATCATTATGCCTCTGGTTTCAGATGATCAATATGTGGAACTATCCACTATACTTTTAAAATATACATTTTTAAAATTAAGTCTTAGCAGACATACAGAACAGTACACAGATTATAAGTATTCAGATTAGCGACTTTTTATAAACTGAACACACCTGTATAACCACCATCTGATCGAGAAATGGAAACCCAGTATTAATTTCATTCTTAAGGTTATTTTGTTTGTTTTTGCCAATATGAACCTCTGGTTAGAAGTATCTTATTACTGATTTGTCATAATATTTGTCCCATCCAACTCTGTCACAGAAGATCCCCAAAATGCTGGGTAGTTGCAAGTCTGCTAAATGACTGACTTAGTTACTGATAAGCCCTGTTTACAGATGGTCCGGAACTTCAGAGGGGGACTTCAGACACCCCCAAGAAAAAGGAACCAGTAACTCCTGAGAGAATTTAAGAGCATAAGAGTCATGGAATTTTGAAGCTCACCTCATAAGTGGAGCTCAGGGAGGTTGAAGAAGGTGCCCCCAGCTTCATAACAAGGAAGCAGGACCAGTGAGCACACACACACACCATATGGGTGCTGCTATCTGAGAAGTCCCCGCTGAAATGGATCCTGACCAGGAAGGAAGCATTGGCAAGACTGCCTGTACAGGACCAGTGCTGTCACCACTCATGGTCACCACTCACATACGCTGCCCCCTAGCTCTGGGGTTTGGTACCCTACACCCCAGATGCCCAGATGCCCTTCCTCCCCCATTTGCTTTCAAGTGGGTCACTGGCAGAGAGACAACCCTGTTCGCACATTATGGCACATTGGGAAAGTTGCTGAATTAAAACTAAACCCTGCCTCTGGCCAGAATGTGTTGTGAGCCAGGATCCCACTTAGCACAGCTTCTATTCTCCTCAGACTGCAAAGACTGGAGTACTAAGCCAGCTGTGCCACTTACCAGCCGCCACACCGCAGGCCAGTTCTGACCCTGACAACCTCCCAGGCTGGTGCTCTCCAGCCCTAGCGTAGCTAGGAGAAACTTGGCCAAGGGCACAGCACTTCTTAATGATGATATTGATCCAGCGGCACCTTATGGGCTGGATTGGTGCTAAGTGCTACGCGTGTATCTCATGTATTCCTCTTCGTAGCTCACGGGAAAGGTGCTTCTGTTATCCTATTTTCCAGATAAAGAATCTGAGGCTCAGAGAAGCAAAATAACTGCTCAGGGTCACACAGCCACCTAAGTGATGGGGCCTTAATTCATAGCAGGGAAGGATGTGTCTAAACGATCCTGCCTGTCTGCCACTTGTAACCAGTCAGTCAGTCTGTAGTTACTGAGTCTGCTGTGTGCCAGGCATTGTTCTAGGAGCTAGGGAGACAGCTGTGAGCTAATAGATGAAGCCCACACCCTCAAAAGCTGACAGTTCTTAAGCAGGATCCCTTGGGGAAGACTTATCTTGGAAATTTGCGTTTCAGGAACTTTTAGAGAAAAGCCTTTTTTCCCAAATCATGCCCCAGCTTCCTCTTTATCTTTGAAGCCCCCAGAGCCCTCCAAGATTTCCCTTAGAGAGATGATGGCTGAGAGCCAGGCGCACCTGAGGCTGTGAGTAGCCTCTGCCCTGTGAATAAGGAAGACACTGAGCAGTCTGCTCCCTTAAAGACCCTGCCCCATGCTCACATCCCCCAGCCTCACACCCTGCAGTCTCCCTGCCTCTCCAGCCCAGCCCTACTAGTGGGAGAGGACAGGTGTTGGCCCTGCAGCTCTTTTACTGAAGGGCCCATCTCAACCCTGGCACACCTTGTCAGGGCCAGCTGACAGCACTATGCCAGCCTGACAAGAGTGGGGGGCATGGCCACCCTGCCCATGCGGCCCTGCCACCTCCACGTGGCCTCATGTCTGTTATTCTCTACGCTACACACAAAGAGCCCAGGTGCCGTGGCTGGCGCTCAGCTGCTGGAGTGGGGAGGACCAGCAGTGGTGAAAAGCTTTTCTGAAAGGCCAGGGTGGAGGCAGGAGTCACCCAGGTGATCCAAGCCAGTCCCCTGGGCCCCCAGCCCAGGACCACAGTGAAAGGTTACTGTTAATTGGCGAGTTCCTGATGGGGCCGCATCTATTTAGCACTCCCCCCTCCCCAGAGACTTCCAGGATGGTCTTGGCACAGCGTGTGATTCGAGAGCTGAGTCTGGCACAATCTGTCTGAAATTGTGAACGTGGAGCCTCTGGTTTTTTAATTTGTATTTTTGTTGTTGTCATTCCCTGCCCATTGTTCCTGGTAGATTTAGTAGCAGCAGCCACCCTGACTCTGGTACCCCTCCCTGGGGCCCTCTCAGTGGGTCCCTTCCACCTCTAGCCCTTCCCGTCCATCTATCATCAGAGGCCTTGTTGGGGTCAGGGAACAGCATTGTCTTGCCCCCGACCCACCACTCATCCTCAGGGCCCAGCTCTCACCCCGCCATCATCCCTGACACTAACACAGCTTGTCCACCCTGTCGCAGGGGGCAGATGGCCTGTCGGAGCCGGAGGGCATCTCTCTGAAGCGGGTCGCTGTGGTGGAAGATTTCTTTGACATCATCTACTCGATGCATGTGGAGAGCTCAGCGGAGCCAGGCAAAGCCCCCAAGCACGCTGGGCAGAAGAAAACCTACCGAGCGGTGAGATTTCTGTCCCTTTGCCTCTGCTGGCAGCCCCAGGCCTTGGCAGGAGGCCATGGGCTCCGCACATGTTGGGGGGGGGGGGCAGGGAGCTGAGGCGTGATGAAATGGCCTTTGGGGACCCAGGGGGGCACAGGGCAAGGGCATGGCAGCCAGAGATGGCTCACAGGGCCAGGGGGCGGGTTCTGTGGTCTGAGCACAAAGGAAAAGCAGGTTGAAGGGAGTGAGAGGGAGGGGAGGAGAGGGAGGGGGCAGGAGGGAAGCCCTTCTCTCCCCTTTTCTGCTTCCCTCATTTCCCCCAAGCCCCTCACAGCCTGCTCTGCGGCTGGCCTGGCCGTGGGGGATGGCTAGATAATAACAATCGTAAGGGCAAACGCTTCCCTGGCATTTACTGGGTGCCAGGCCTGTCCTCAGTGCTTTCTGTGTGTGTTTTTTTGATCCCCTACTGCCCTGTGAAGTCAGTACAGGGAGTTCCCCAGGGAAAGTCTGAGGACCTGGTCCCCAGCCTGAAGGAAATCAGTTTGATTTGGGGTGGGGAGTTCCGAGAGCAAACCAAAACATAAAAAAAAAAAAAACCAGAAATGTCCCTACGACTAGCTTTGAGGGAACAAGAACCTAGGTACCTGGGTATTCAGCAGAGGTGCCTCCAGATACTGCACTAAGCCAGGGGTCTTCATGGAGAAGTTGGCAAGTAAGCCAGCATTCGAAGCTTTGGGTAGACAGAAGGGAGCAGAGAAGGTTAGATTGCTAAAGGTGGGAAATGTCACACATGGGGAGGCAGAGGGATGGTGGCCCAAGCACTGGGGGCCTGCCTGTGTCCTGTCCCATCTCCCCCTTGACCCTCATCGCCATGGCTTATGCACAGCTTTGAACCATGTGTCCAGTGCCCACCACTAAACAGTAAAGCCAAGCACCTTATGTTCATTTAAGCCTGACGGCAGTCCTGTGATAAACTGTGGTCCCATTTTACAGTTAAGGAAACTGAGACCCAGAGAGTTGAGCTACTTGTCTAAAGTCACATAGCACCTGAGAGGTAGTCAGCCAGTGTCTTCATGGCCCCTTGGTGCTGACTTTCTCTTTGGCTTCCTAGAGACCTGCCCCTCTGTGACCAGGCTTCTCCACCCAAGGCAGAAGTGACACCCCTCCCATCCCAAGTTCTTTGTATAGATAGCCTTGGACTGTAGTGGAGGTGGCCTGTGTAAATCTATAATTTCTCCATATAGCCTGATTTTTTACAATCCAACAATCTGCCCTGGCTTATTTGGCTTTGCAGGTAGAGTGTTGGCCTATGGACTGAAGGGTCATGGGTTCAATTCCCAGTCAAGGACACATACCTGAGTTGCCATTTCAATCTCCGGCCCCAATTGGGGCTATGCAGGAGGCAACCAATCGATGTATCTCTCTCACATTGATGTTTCTCTCTCCTCCTCCTCCTCCCTCCCTTCCATTCTATCTAAAAATAAAACAAACAAAAAAACAATGGAAAAATATCCTCGGGTGAGGAGTAAGAATGAATGAATAAATAAATCAATATTCAACAATCTGGCCTGGCTGGGTGACTCAGTTGGGTGAAGCATCGTCCTGAGCAGCAAAAGGTTGCAGGTTCAATTCCCAGTCAGGGCACATACCCAGGTTGTGGGTTCGATCCCTGGTTGGGGAGCATATGAGAGACAACCAACCGATGTTTCTGTCTCAAATAGATGTCTGGCTGTCTTTCTGTCTCTCTGTCTCTCTCTCTCAAACCAATAAAAACACATCCTTGGGTGAGAATTAAACAAGAAATGTCCAACAATCTGATGTGTCCTTCTCCTCAGAAGATGGCCTTTGCCCTAAATGAGTCTTAAAGATGGACCCTTGTGCCAAGGACCTCAGAGAGATGAGGGATCAGGCTGAGGAAGCAGGCCCACCTCTCCTTCTTCTCAGTACATGTGGAAAACTTGTGGGAAGGGAGTTCTGAGGGTATTTCCACCAAAGGGTCATGGGTGAAGGAAAGAACACCCAGGCTGGAGCCAATGTGGGCCCTTTGGTATCAGCGAGACCCAGCACATCTGCTCAGCGTTAAGTTTGCCGGTGCTGGGCAGGTAGCATGTGCCAGGCCCTGTGCTCAGCACTTCCCATGCACCAACTCTCTGAGCCTTTACACATATGAAAATTGTATGTATGAAGCAGGTGCTGTTATCCCCATTTTACAGACGAGGAAAATGAGGCTCAGAGAGATGTATAATCTGCCTGAGGTCACCCAGCTGACATGCAGAGCCAGGCAGCTGGCCCCAGAGCCTGCATCCTGACTGCTGTACCTCCTGCCTTTGCACAAACCCCTGTGGTCAGCTAGTAAGGCCAATGACATGCTGTTGTCCAGGTAGATGGGCTTGAGCCAGCCAGACCATGTGATTTCCCGGGTCCCCTTGGTGCCCAGCACCAAGCCTCACCTGCAGGCACTCCCTGGATATGTACGAGGGCCAGGGCTGTGGCCTCCATGTTGTGCAGTGGGCAGAGCCGGGCTGGTCCTGGCAGCATTTGCATCTCTGGGCCAAGTGGACGTCCAGGCTTTGCTCTGCATTTCCTGGCTTCTCGTCCATATGCCCGCCGCGTGCCCCACTTCCCGCTGCCCAGCCTGGAGCTGGCACATGACTGGCGGCAAGCCAGCTGGGCTGCGCACAGAGCTGGAATTTCAGCAGCAGGGCCAAGGCTGAGTGGAGCAGGCCAGGGCCCTCCTGCAGTGGGTGTGAGGCCAAGGGGGCCACGGCACCTCCCTCCTCCCCTGTGTGCCTCCTCTCCCTTCCCCCTCTCCCCATCTGTCACCCTTCTCCATGCCACCCTTTTTCTTCCTGGGGAGTGGGGGTGGTGCCTGGGTGTTTTTGTTCTCCTCTTTTCATCTGCTGCCGTTTCTTCCATCCAAGCCTAGTCCTTCAGCCTCACTGGTGGCCGTGCCCCCGAGTCGGGGTCTGTGGAAGGGGAGCTCCAAGGAAACTGCTGCTGGCCGCGGAGGCTCAGCCTGCACCTTCGGCTTTGCGCCAGGCTCTTGGCTGAGGTGTTTGGGGACCTGTCTCTGTGTTTTGCCAAACCTGAATCCTGGGACTGCCTCATCATCTCCAGGGCACCTGGGACTTTCGGATCTTACAGGCCTGGGGTGGCTGTGGGAGGCAGGGGACTGGAAAGGAGATGGATAAACTCATTCAGGGCATTAAAGGAGGCGCATTGTTCAGTAGGAAAAAGGACTTTCTACCATCTACCACTGTTCAGCAGTGGGTCAGGATCAGGTAATGAGCTTTCGGAAGCTGTGAGTATATGAGCAAAAGCTAGATGGCCATTTATAATGGCTAATGCAGGGGGACTTCCACTTTGAGTACGAAGCCCTACCTTACTTGTTACCTCTGGTGCAGTGTGAGCAGAGGGCCCGAGGAACCCAGGAGATCTTGCCCACGCCGGGGTCTGGGTTCCAAGCAGGTCTACAAAGTTCCCTGAACCCACAGTGAGGGCTGGTCCTTTTTTAAGGTGCTTTTCTGGTGTGTGCACCCATCTGGGCTAGAGTGAACCCGTTGGCTTCCTCCCTTGCCCCCAGAGTGATGGTAGGCTACATTGGGTTCCAGAGTCCGGATCTGGATGCCCGGACCACTTTGGAGTCGGGGCCAGATGTGGTCAGAAGCTACTCCAGGCCCACCACGTGCTAATCCACCCACAGGGCAGAAGAAGGATCTTGTAAAGTGGTGCAAATCCCCTCAATTGGCCTCATCTGTCTTTGTCGGCCTCTGAGTTGGGGAGCGAAATGGAGCCTTACAAGTCAGCGACTCTGCAAATAGCTTCTGCTCTTTCTGCCAGCAAAATCTCTCTAGTTTTTACCACTAGAAAGAACATAAGAGGCAAATTCGTGAATGGGTCCCAGGGTCCAGGCAGGAGACCCCAAGTAGAGCAAGGTAGCGGCTGCCCAGCGCAGCTGAGGGAAGCTAGGTAGAGACAGGGTCCGGGCGCTTCCTCTCCTTACACACAGCAGCTCTATCTTTATCTGTTTCGTGTTGGGGCTTCAGCATAAGAGTCTATTTCCAGAACAGTGCCTGTAGCTCTAAAACTACCCGAAAACCACCACCCTACTGACTAGAGCACCCACTGAGATCGTCCGCCTCGTTTCAATTCAACCTGTGGTCCTGTGGCCTTGGGTGTCCATGCAGTCGAATAGAAATGGGGGTTCCATTTTTTATTTGCACAAGCCAGGAGGGTGAACCAAAAGATGCCCACAAAAGGTTGCGGGCCCCAGTGCAGGGAGGCATCCTCCTCCGTGCGGGTCCCTACAGCAGTGCAGAGCTGGGCTGACTCCCCAGGGAGCTCTTAGCAAGGCTGCAGACATTCCAGCCGTGCAGGGCAGGGCTTCCTCCCTGGCCTTCAAACAGCTCCAAGGACTTCTTACCAATCTGCCTTTGGTCCACCCCTTCTTCCCCCTGGAGAACAGGGTCAGAAGGGGATGCACCCAGCACTCGCCCTGCATGTGGCACTCCACCAGCCTTTGCATACAGCTGGGTCTCTGCAAGGCCAGGAGAGCTGGGGCCACCATTCTGGCCCCTGGTCAGAGCCCTCTCTGGGAACCATCCCTATACCCTCAGCAGGCCAAAAGGCAACCCTCGGCAGAATAGTCAGGCCAGGAAGGCCCTCTGAGCCCTGTAAAAATGGTTTCTCTGCCCAGTGGTAGGTGAGCACTGGGTAGAGAAGTAGGGCTGTCCCTATGGTATGAATTTTCCTTCATTTTCCCAGCAGACTGCAATCCTCCTCCCCAAGTCCTCTGCTCAGCAATTCTGAGGCCCAGCCTGGAATGCCACACCTCAGGCACCGACAGGGTCATCTGTTGGCCCAAGTTAGCCATAGCCCTCCGCTTTGCCCAGCAGATACCCTTCCCTCTTGCCAATTTACTCCTACAGCCATTAGCCCTTCAGCAGGGCCCACCCTCCCAACCCTGCAGCCGGAGAGGGTCTCTCTCCCCTAAGACTTCCAGGCAGCTTCAGGCTGGGATGAAGATGTGCATGTGAGTGGCAGGACAGCTCCCATCCCTCGGGCCCCTACATCCAAGTAGGACTGGTGCATGGCTGACCGTCACCTTCCCACCCACCAGCTCCAATCAGAGACCGGGGTTTTGCCCTTGTGCCTGACCTCCAAAGGAAGGCAATCAGACAGGGAATTTGGAAGGGAGATAACTCATCAAGGAGCTGGCCTGCTCCGCAGAGCATCAAATCAGCTGAGAAATAACAATTGTGTCACCAGAATTAACTCTGCTTCTGCAGCCTGCTGCCAAGCAGGAGTGGACCCTGGTGCTCCACAGGCCAGCTGAGCTGGGAGCACATGAGCGGATCCTCTGAGGGCCTCCTGGCCATGGCCTGGGCACCCAGGCCTCCTACATTCCCACCCCCACCCACCCACTCCACCCTACCCTACTCAGCCCCCTGGCCACCACAGGCACGGAGCAGGGCGCTTGTGCATCCCCAAAGAGCAGCTTGGCCAACTTTCCTGGCTGGGCTGCGGCGAGGACTGTAGAATGCTGGGGTGGTGCTGCCCCTTAGTGGAGAAGAGTGGGAGAGCCCGGGCTCTGGGAAATAGGCAAAAACCAGCAGCTGGGCAGAGAGCCGCCTCAGACAGGGAACCCGAGCCTCAGAGGTCCCACCGGGCCCCTCAGGCACCCAAACCGGGGCCAGTGGGTTTCCTAAAACCCAGAGCAGAAGGAGAGGGCCGACTCCTTGGCGCACCACCTCCTTCCCCACTCCCCCACCCAGCCTCTTTCTTGTGTTCTCTCCCACACCCCCTTTCTCTTCTCTGTAGGTAGGGGAGGCCCTCTGGAGGCTGGTTTGGGGTGGTGTGCCCTGGAACATGGGCTTCAGTTTGGCACTGCCTCTAGGGAGCTTTGTGACCTTGGCCAGTGGATTCACCTCCCTGGGCCTCGTACTCTAACCTGGGACATGGGGGTCCTAAGAGCCTGTCCAGTTTGAAAAATTTGATCCTTTGGCATCAGCCTTTCACAGCTCATCCCCAAACCTTGAATTCTGTTTACAGGCCAGAGACTGTGGACATATAAATGGGTCTCAGTGTATCCATCTCTAGGAGGGGACACGGTTTCATCCTACTCTAGACCAATGCTCATAAGCTCATTTTTCAGTAACAGCAATAAAATGCTCTGACTCATTTCCATGGCTGAGAATCGAGGACATCTGCCCCTTGCTCCTCAAATCCCTGCCCATCCTGGCAAGGGCCAAATGCCTGCCACCAAAGCACAGCCCTTGTTGACCCAGTGACTAAGCAGCCTCCCCACGGATGCATATAACAAGCGAATCTCCTCTCTCCCCCAGATCGCAGAGACCTACGCCTTCCTTCCACGAGAGGCTGTTACCCGGTTCCTGATGAGCTGCACAGAGTGTCAGAAGAGGATGCACTTTAATTCCAATGGCCTGGAGCCCAAAGGTAGGGGAGGAGGTGGGCATGCTGGAGGCTCCTGGGGGGGGGGGGTGCGAGGAGAGACTCTCCCACCAGTAGGGCCTGCCCTTTGCCAGCACAGACAGGAAAGCACACGGTCCAGGTTCCAGCCGTTGTCACAGTTCCCAGAGGCCAATGTGAGTCCCTGGGGCTGCCCAGAGAACCTAACTTTTTTTAAGTCAAGTTTCACTGAAATTCAACAGTATGTTCGTACTGCACTTCAAGGCCCAGGCCCCATCTCTTCTCTCACCAAGGTTTGGATGCAAATGTCCACCTTGCCCATTCCCTAAACTGTAATTCTTCTTTTTCCTTTTTTAATCCTCACCTGAGGACATTTTTGCATTTATCTTCAGATAGAGCAGGAAGGAGAAAGGGGGGAAGAGAGAGAGAGAAACAGCAATGTGAGAGAGACACCTCAAGTGGTTGCCACCCACACGACCCCAACCTGGGCTGGGAACAAACCGCAGCCCAGGTACGTGCCCTTAGCAGGAACTGAACCTGGGACTCTCTGGTCTGCAGGCCAATGCTCTAACTGCTGAGCCAAACCAGCCAGGGTTAAAATCTGTAATTCTTGCCACCCAGGTCTTACCCTTAGAGGTGTCCCCATGAGTTTGGTCCTGCTGACCCCACTAATAGCTTTTGTAGGACAGAGTACAGCCTTCACACCCTGTAGCCACACACCTGCCAGGAGTAGGTTGTCCCTAAACATCTGTCTCTCCTTGTGCACAATCCAGAAATCTAGAGGGATTGGTCAGAACTTAAAATGTCCAGAGCACTTGTGACCAGCCAAAGCTGATCCTTTGGACCAACATCCATGCTCTCCAGCTCTGCCCTACAGAGGGAGATGTAGCAAAGACCACATTGGTCCCCCCGCACTCCTTACCTGAATGTCCCAGAGGTCTCCAGTAAATCTTGGGTCCATTTCTGCTCAGGTGGCTGTGGTCGGTGAGATGGGCCACGTCGTTTGACTGGTGTGATATAACTGAGCCCTGAGAAATGGTGTCCAGGTGGGCGATTCCTGGGCATCAGGCCTGCAAAGGTTGCTGAAGTCCATGAGTATTTTTCCTGAGGATGGAAATAGACTTGGAATAAAGGGTGAGCCATTGACTCACGTGGCATCTTCCAAATCTGGGGAAGAGAAAACCAACAATGAAGCCCTAGCAGGCAACCACAGAGCAACTGGAGCACAGGAGTCGAGTGGGGTTTCCACCTCATTTTGGTTGTCCCTGATGTACAGGAGCAACTTCTGACACCAGCCAACCCATCAGACCCAGAGGCGTTCCTGCCCGTGGGGCCATTAGGCCGTGGCTGCATCCTCAGTACATCAGACAGCTTCTAAAGCTTGAGGGACAGGAACAAATCTGGTTGATCCCTTATTAGTGCTGGGTTGGTTCCTGGTGTAAGAGCAGGGCCTCCAGGGCCACACGAGATGAATTCAAATCCCATCTCTGCAGCTCAGCAGACGTGTGTCCTGAACAAGTGACTTCATCTCTCGGAGTCTCAGTTTCCTCACCTGTGAAATGGCCATGATAATGGTAGACCCCTCAGGGGCTGATGAGGTCTGAGAGTTACTTTTGTACCTGGCGCAGGGCTACCATGCAGGAGGAGTGACCACCTGTGGCTGTTGCAGTTATTGTGATAACACTGGATGCTAGAGGGAGGCCCCTGGCAGATGTGGCCTGGCCCTGGCTGTCTGGCTGCAACCCCTGGGCCAGGACAGCATGTGGTACCTGCAGACAGGCCAGGAGGGCTTTCCCTGCTGCACTTCCTCCCCTGCCCGGGTCTGGGTCCCAGGGGTGCCCACCCATCCACCTGTCCCTTCCTGTTCTGTCCTGATTGTTTCCATAGCAACTAGGGTAGTCAGACACGAAATCCATTCCCCTGGGGGAACAGAGGCAAGGCCAAGGGAGCTGTATTTGTGGGCTGCTCTGGGGTGTCTGCAGGCTCCATCTCTGCTGCTCCGTGCTCCCTGCTGCTGTGGAGGACATTCTCACCTCCCCCATTCCTCATCGGTGGGCTTCCGCGTGGTGGGAGGGCGATGCCAGCACAGCGGCAGCCTGTTTCTTCTTCCTGCTGCCATCACCATGCCCCCACCCAAGGGTAGGAGGAGGGAGGGCGGAGGGGGAGGGAGGGGGAGAGGGAGAGAGCACACAGCCTGGAAGGAGCCGCCTAGAATATAAACCAGCTCTGTGGGCTCTGGGCTGGAGCCTGTCTTTCCAGGGGCTTGCTCCAGGCGGGACAGAGGGCAGACAGAGTGAGGCTGTGCCTTGCCCTTCCCTGCTTGTCCTTGGGTGGAGTGCCACTTCTTTGTCCCCAGGAGTGGAGCTTTCCAGGCAGGGAGAGGACAGGCCGAGGGAGCAGGAGACAGCACGGCCCACGGAAGGGCGTGAGTTTGGGGTCGGGCAAGCCTGGCTGTGCCACCCTGTGCTCTGCCATGTGTCCTTCAGCAGGTTAGAGGACCTCTCTGAACCTCGCCTACGAGCCTGTGAGGTGTCTGTCCTGATTTACAGCTGAGGAATGAGGCACAGAGAGGTGTCATGGTGAAATCACTTGTCTGAGGTCCCCAGAAGGCAAGAGAATTTATCTTCTCATCAGCACTTTCTTCTTGGGGCCGTTGTGAGGATGCAGCCGAATTAAACAGCCGTGTTCTGTAGGGTGCCTGGTGCAGTGGGAACAGCAGCCCGTACCCCATGTTGTTCCATACGGAGCCCAGACACAAGACTGTCCATGTCCAGGCGATCCCGTGGGGAGACACACAATCAGTCACCCCACCCAGGTGAGCACCCTGGCTCTACAACCTGGTTCCTGGCAGCTGCCAGAGCAGAGCCTTCAAATCTGAAAGGCTTCCCTGTCTGCTTAATGGCCAGAGGCATTCGCTGCCTGGACCACCCTCGCCAGCTGGCAGGTTCTCCCTTCTGCCCCAGCTGAGAGCCTGGAGATCTGTCTGCCCGCCATGCTGGCCTCTCTGGATGCGGTCAGCTGCACCTACCCCTCTTGCACAGGCACCCCTGCCACGCCAGCCCTGCCTCCTCCCCCTCCCACCCGCCCACAGGGCAGTCGAGCCTGCAGCTGCCACAGAGGCAGGTCCTGTGTTCCTGTCCCAGGAAGGTGGGGCAGGAGGGGGATAGGGAACAGGATGGAGACTTCTGGAGGGGCTTTTGGGAGAAGGACTCGCTTCCTGACCGAGTGTTAGAAAGAAAGAAAGGAAGCAAAGCAGCCTTCCTTGCTCAGCGGTTTGTCCCCGGCAGTGTGGGGCTCTGGACAGTCCCAGGCCCTCCCCCAGCGCCAGGAGCACAAACAAAAGCGGCTGCTGAGGACCAGGAAGTCCAAGGATGGGAAATTCCAGGGCCTCCCAACTCCTGCTCTTCTACCAGCCCCTGAGCAAGTCCAGGTGGAGAGGAGACAGAAAATGAAACCGTGTGCCTTCACACCAGCCCCAGCTCCTGGGGACAAGGTCTCTGGGGTCATGTTTCTGTTTTCTCTGATGTGACAAAATACTGTTTGCATGGCTGCAAGCTAGGAGTTAGCAGTGGGCAATGCCAGTTACCTATAGAAAGGCTTCTTCCTCGCAACAGTCGTCCACTCAGATGGAGGCTGCTTTGCAACCAGGCCCAAACTCCCCTGTGTGGTTTCCAACCCCCTCGAGTCTAGCTCCCCCAGACCCCCTGCAGAGGCTCCATGCTGGCCGGCTTGCTGGCCTGTCCCCTCTTGGCTCTCATCCTCCCTTGCTGGTTGACGTGGGAGATCGCATAGCCCCTCCACGTGCCGTTGACTCTTCTGTGAGAGGGGGTGTTAATGCTGGCACCCACCACATGGACTTCTTGGGAGCACCAAGCAGGAGGATTTGCGTCCAGCTCCTGGCAAGTGCTCCGTGGCTGTCAGCAGAGGAGTGAATCGCAGTCTTGTCCAGACCCCTCTCTCCACAGAGCTGCCTTGGGTTCTTTCTCCTCTGGGCTCTAATGGACTCGCCATCAGTCCCACCCTGCCGAGTGCAGGGACTGTACCTACGGGGTTCCCCTCCCCTCCCCACTCTGAAGGCTCACATATCAGTGCTCCTGGAAGACTTGCTGACCCGCTGATTCATTCCCTCCTAAGGAGGTTTTCTCATCACCTTCTGGGTTGGCCCCAGGCCTCAATCTCTATTCCAAATCTAAGACCCGCAACAGGCTGGCCGGGCTCAGGGCTGCTCTGTGCCAGGCCTTCCTCACACACACGTCCTGCAGCGCTTGGCCCTGCCTAGGACAGCTCGTGCCACTGGCACCGAGAGCCAAGGGGCTCTTCCACTCCTCAGGCGAAGCCCGTGGTAACTGCCACCTTGCGTTCCACCCGGAGAAACCGAGGCCACTGGTCCGTGGAAATTCGCACTGACGGTGCCGCGGGAGCCCAGCTGGGGAGGTCAGCACTCAGCTCGGCCCGCGTGGCTTGGCCTCGGGAAAGTCTCTGCATCGCTGGTTATTCTCAAGGCCTGTAAAACTAGGTCTTGCGCTTGGGCTGGTTTCAGTTTTCTTTGGCAAGGAGGGGTTGAAACATTTCTTTGGGTGGTTCCTCTGCCTCGCTCACCAGCAGCCTGCTTCATTATTTCAGCCCTGTGACCCTTGCTAGCTCCTGACTCACCAGTGGTGTTGGCTTATTCGTGGTGGCTTGAGCATGGCCCCTGTACGTCTCGATCACAGCAGGGGCCTGGCCTGTCTCAGCAAAGCCCAAGGAAGCCACTTGTCCTTGTTCATGTGCCCATCTTAGCTCATCCCCCATCCTGGCATTTATCTCACCTGTGAGCGCCTGACTCCTCCACAGACTCCCACTGGCCCCTGCTCCTACCTCTTTCCTGCTAAGCTGATCCTGTGTGTGCGACATTTATCACCTCCAGAGCCCCAGGGCTCCCCACTGCTCAGCTCTAACCTCCCACAGCCAGCTCCCTGGTGCATTTCCTCACCCAGAAGGTCCCCTGCCAGCCAAGGTCCTGCCTCCCCGACAGAACTCTCATTTCTGGAACTGCAGACGCAAGCATTTCCCTGCACACGGATCCCTGATGGGTGTGTGTGCGTCAGGATGTCCCAGCTTTCCCAGACCAGGCTCCCGCCTCTTCCTTCTGAGGCCTCCTGCTCACCTCCGGCACCAGAAGTGGTTTCTTTTTTTTTATCCTCACCCGAGGATATTTTTTTGTACAGATAGAGTGGGAGGGAGAGAGAGGAAGGGAGAGAGAGAGAGAAACATTGACGTGAAGGGACACATCGAGTGGCTGCCACCCGCACGACCAACCAGGGCCAGGGACAAACTGCAACCGAAGTACGTGCCCTTAGCGGGAACCGAACCCGGGTCTCTCCAGACCGCAGGCCGACGCTCTAACCGCTGAGCCAAACCGGCCAGGGCAGAAGTGGTTTCTGATCTGTGGACACGCTGGGGAAGGAACAGGCCAAGGAAGAACCCTTCTGCCGTCCGAGCGTGCCATCCCACCCAGCGTGTCTTTTCTATTCTAAACCAGGCTGTCCCTGGCTTTGTTAAAGAGACTTCCTCATAAGCAGCTGTGGCATTTCAGGCAGGACATGGGTGACCATCAACAAAAGAACACAGCGCCCAGCTCTTGTGGATGACCAAGGTCTTCATTTGCGGCTCTGTTCAGGAGTCCCTTAGGTGGGGGGGCGGGGCTTCTCACATGCTGTGTTGTCTAACAGCTTTTCACCAGAAACCCCATCTTTGAGGAAATGAAATGGAAACGGCAGAATTCTCCATCTGAAGACCCATAGTGTGGAAACAGGAACCATGGCATTTTTGAGTGACCGGACCTGTCTGCCTCACACACCTCCCCCCACCCCGCCATCAGTTTTGGGGTGCCAGGTCAAGTCTGGGTTGACTGTGGGGCAGCAAGGAGAAGAGGTCACGAGGACACCGGGACACCTCTTAGTTTCCCACAGTGCTGGTGTCTGTGCCAAAGGGGTCGATGGACACTTGTGTCAGAGAGCCCTTCTGCACCGAACCAAGAGGAGTTCTCTAAGAAAAAAAAGTTTGGTCCATTCAAGCCAGTTTCTGAGGCATTTACCTCTTCCTCAAGAACAAAGATCTTCATCAAAGGACACAAAAATTTTGTATGTGACAACACAGCTTTATACAACTAAACAAAGTTCTTCACTTTTATAAAATGTAGTAAGAGATGTTATTTAGGCTGTGCAGTTGTTAGGTGTACACCGCCCCAAAAGAGCACGCCCCATCCCCAGGCCCCTCTGCAAGGACCCCATTTTGCAGGCCCAATGCCATCCTTGCCAAGTAGGAACTTCCCTTCCCCCTTGGAGGCGGTTCTCTCCCCCTTGTTTGCGGTGGACTTTTCCCCTCATTCTGGTAAAATATTTATAATGTAAAACTTGACATTTTAATAATTTTAAGTGTACAATTCAGTGGCATTAGTTATATTCACATAACTGAGCAACTATCACCACTATTTCCAAAACCTTTTCATCACTCCAAACAGAAACTGTGTACAGCAATAACTTCCCATCCCCACCCCCATCCCTAACAACCTCTGTTCTACTTTCTTTCGCTGTGAATGTGTCGGTTTTAGATGTTCCACTGAAGTGGAATCACACAGTAGTTGTCCTTCTTTGTCTGGCTTCTTTACTAAGCATGGAGTTTCCAAGGGTGCAGGGCCTTTCTGGCCTGGGCTCTGGTGCGTGAGCAGCAGGTTTAGCAGTCACCTCGGATAGTCTCTTGTGTTCCTCCACCTGGGCCCCATCGTGTGCTTCCCCTTCGGCCCATCCCTTGGGCATGGTGGTGACGGAGAGGGCAGCTTCGGTTCGTCCAGGAGTTGCTTGCACACTCAAGTCCCAGCTCACGAACAGAACTGGGCACCAGGGAGAACTTTGGTTCAAAGACCTGGAGCCCTGGAGGCAGGAGGAGGAGGCCAGAGAACAGTAACCAAGACTGTTTCCCCAGGTAGAGGGTGAAACAGGATCAAGTGACTAAATGACTAAATGAGATGGGTCCTGCCCTGCCGGTGTGGTTCAGTGGATTGAGCGTCATCCCATGGACTGAGAGGTCCCAGTTCAATTCCCTGTCAGGGCACGTGCCCGGGTGGTGGGCTCAATCCCTAGTAGGGGGTGTGCAGGAGGCTGCTGATCGATGTTTCTTACATTGACGTTTCTCTCTCTCTCTCTAAAAAAAAAACAGTGAAAACATATTTAAAAATAAATAGATAAAATAAATGAGCTGGGTCCCAGCAAGTGGCTCCAGGGTTTCAAACTTGATCATAGCAAAAGACATCCGGAGGGGAAGTTGGACTGGGGAGAAGTGTCTTCCTCAACTTATGCCTGTGCCATTCTCATCTGTCCAGTGCCACCCACAGGGGTACCTGAGATGAAGAACTGGGCAGTGTCCACATTAGCAGCCTTTGCAGAAGGCAGCTTGGCCAGATATTTTAAGAGTTACTGAATATTCTTGTCCTTTGATCCATGAATTCCTTTTCTTGGAATCTGTTGTAAAAAGGAAATGATCAGAAATTTGGACCAACATCCGCACACAAATATGTTCCTTGCAGTGTTGTTTATAATTGCCAACAATAGGAAACAACATAAATAGCCATTTATCAGGGAATGACTTAAAGTAAACTACGGTAAAATAGTACACGGCTATAAAAGTTATATTTGTAAAACAAAACAAGATTTTTGATAGTGAAGGAAATGCCTATGACAAAATGTTAAGCAAAAAAAATTTTTTAAGCCTGCTATAATTCTCTGTATGCATTATGATATCAAGGACATAAAGAAGAGAAATCACAGGGAAAAAATAAACAGAAGCATATGCCAAGCTGCTTAGTGCAATTATGGATTTTTTTTCTTTTTCTTTACATCTTTCCACACTTTGCAAATGCTCTACAAAAAGAACACACATTACTTTGATCTTTAGGACAACAAAGCAATAAATGGGAGGAACAATGTTCCGTGTGATTAAGAAGGAACCAGAATTTTGGGGGAGGGGGCCCAGAGCTGTGAGCCATATGGTACCTGCTGGTGCTTTTGGGGAATGCTGTTGGGGTAGGAGATGGGTGAGGTGGTGGCAGCACGTGTGCACCAGGAAAGAGCTGGCTTAGCTTGGGGTTGGAAACATGGTGCTTTCGAGGGGCTGGCCAGTACCACAACTGAATGGAAATGGACAAAACAATATGGAGTAGTGGGGACTGTGGCAAAATGGAGCTCACGCCCTGTCTGAAAGGCGTAGCTGCAGCGGTGGTTTGCCATGCAGGGATCCAGGCCCTAGGTGGCCAGCCCTTCCAGTTTTCAAAGCCAAATATCCCTAATTGTTTAATTGTGAACTCTCTTATTAAACACTAGCACTGCCCTGGCCGGTTTTGTTCAGCGGTTAGAGCATTGGCCCGTGGACCAAAGAGTCCTGGGTTTGGTTCCTGCTAAGGGCACGTACCTCAGTTGCAGTTTGTCCTCGGCCCTGGTTGGGGTCATGTGGGTGGCAGCCAGTTGATGTGTCTCTCTCATATCGATATTTCTCTCTTCCTCCCTCTCTCCCTCCTGCTTTATCTGAAAATAAGTGCAAAAATGTCCTCGGGTGAGGATAAAAAAAATAATAATTAAAAAAATAAACACTAGCACTGGATTGCAAAACATGTTCAGTGGCATGCAGTCCACATCTATGGGCCAGTTATGGTGGGTGAGCTGCACATTTGTGACCTCTGGCCTGTGTTTTCCTCCTCACCGGTTCTGTGTTGGGTTCTCCATATGGGTGACAGGGTGTGCCCCACTGGTGGCCCACAGCACAGACTCAAAGGGTTCCTCTTGTTCTTTCTGCCAGAAAACGAGCCTCCCTCTCCGCTGGTCTCCGGGATTATTGATTACAACATGCCCCTCACCTCCACGTACCTGAAGCAGATGAAGTTGCGTGTGATGAATTCCCAGGAACAGGTAAGGCATCCTTCCCCCCTCACCCCACCCGGAGGCGTCCTGACTTGCCTGGATGTGGTTGATTCTTCCCAAGATGTGGTGCCACAGCCTGTGTAAACACACTAGAAATCAAAGAGGCCCTTATCTGGTTATCTGGGCTGTGCAGTCCAGGCTGAGAGGGGAGGGAAAGAATGTGTTCCTAGTTACAGGGTCTGCTGGGCAGACAGCCCTGCTGGGTCTTCACTGAAACCCAGGGAGCTCATGCTTCACAAAACTTTCCCCAAGGGCAGGGACAAGGGAGGGGGAGGGTACGAGCTGTAGACCTTGGCTCTTAGGTGGTTCTGTCTCTGCTCTGCCCTTTGTCTGCTACATCACTCACCTCCTTTCCCCAGGGAGAGGAAAGAGGAGGGGCCCTGGCTGCCAGCCTGTGGCCTCTGTCACTCTTGGGGCCCAGACAGGACAGGAGGATGGGCCTTGGCGGGTGGCCTGCGTAAGATAAGGCCCCTGGCTGTCCAAGACTCCCCAGCTGTGGATTGCCAAGGGTTGTCCGGCACCGTGGAAACAGGCTATTAAAAGAAAACCACTCTTGCCTGCCTCCCCACACAGTCCACCTTCTAGCCCTTCACGAAGCAAGTAGCCTATCTTTCAAAGGAGGGCAAGTGAGTGCCACCTCCGTCCTCTACCACTGCCTCAAACCAGGGTGATAACCTCTCACCTCCAGCTTCGAGTGTTCTCATCTGTTATGACATCTGAACTCACTATCCCTTTGTGGCCTGGCCAGGGAAATGGGTTCTTTCAATAAATGTCTGACTTCAAGCCCTGGGTGCATGCTGTCTCGCTTACCGCTGGTCACCTTGACAACCTGAGTGTGAGCTGTCACAGGAGCCAGGGGGCGAGGAGGTGGTGGCTCCAGGGCCGGCTCCAAGGTGAGGCAGCAGGAAGTGTTCCGATCGCATCCGGGCCTGTGGCACCAGTTTGAGGATTTGAGCTGGCTGGCTCGAACAGACCAAGTTTGCACTCCCCTGAGGAGGAGGGATGGCGTGCCCACCACAGCCAGCCCCTCAAGGTTGAATGAAGTACAATTTGCTCTGGGTGATAGAGCTGTTGGTGTCTCTGTGTCTCTGGTGTTTTCTCTCCTGAGAGTGTCCCTTCTATGATGGTTGCATCCCTAAGAAACTTTAGGTGATCAAAGATAATGTCAGTGGGGAAAGTGGCATTGGGGTTTCTACGCACAATGGCAACGTTGTTTCTGTGCAGGAATGTCAGTAGGAAGGGTGGTAAAATGTAAACACCTCCCAGCAGCTTCAGCTTGGGAGCTCCTCTGACTGCCTAGTGGAGCTCATGGCCTTTCTTTTCTTGACCATCCACACTGTCACAGGCACCTGGCTTCTCACATATTCTTATCAGCATCTCGTTCCTCACCGCGAGGAGGAGCGGAGTGCAGAGTCGCTGGAACAGCCCAGAGTAAGGCCCCACGGCTCCTTGTTTCCTACAGAGTGGCACTAGGGCCAGACCCCTGCCAGGACCAGTAGTGGTCACATAACCCACCCGTGACCCCTCATTAATGGATCCTGTTATATTACGTTTGGTTATACAAATTCTTACTGTCGGTGGGGGGATTAAGACTATTGCTGGGAGTATTAGCAAGGATTCAGGAATTCAACAAATATTCATGGAGCCCTACTCTGTGAGCTGGGGATGAGCAAAGACACCACCATCCCTAGTTCTTCTGATCAAGGGGGAGACAGACACTCACAAAAGAAGCACACACAAATAGCCAGCTCCTAGAAGGTAGCCATAAGCAATCGAGGAAGAGCCTGGTAGATGTGGCTTAGTGGACTGAGCATTGTCCCATGCACCAGGAGGTCGTCCGTTCGATTCCCATGCAGGGCACATGCCCAGGTTGCAGGCTCGATCCCCCGTAGGGGTGTGCAGGAGGTAGCTGATGGATGTTTCTCTCTTCACATCGATGTTTCTATCTCTCTCTAAAAAATCAATAAAAACATATTTTAAAAATTAAAAAAAAAAAATTGAGGGAGAGATTAACCACCCATTACGGTACAGCTGTGACAAGTGCTGGGCAGTGGGGCATGTGGTACTGTGAGTAATTAGACGTGAGTGGGGGCGGATTGAGGCAGGGTCAGGGAAGATTTGCCTCAGAAAACGATGTCTGAGCTGAGATCAAGATCTGAAGGGAACAGAGCTCCAGGCCTCAGCTTGTGCAAAGACCCTGTGGCTCGAGAGAGGATAGAGCCAATGAGAATTTGAAAGGCTGGTGCAGCTGGTGCAGAAAGTGAGAGGAGTTCTGCTGCTGAACAAAGGGGAAAGCACAGTGTTAGGGACTTGATGGATGTCTGTGAGAGAATTGAAGTTCATGAAGTGAGATGGAGAAATTGCCCTGGTGAGGTTCAGGCTACTTCCAAAGGAAGGGAGGATTGTGGGAAGGCATTTGTTCCCAGGGTGCTCTGAGAGCTGCCTAGGGCTGCGGCGGAGACTGGGTTGGCCTCTGCTTACAGTGGTGTTGACTGTACTGTGTCTTCTTGCCTTGCCTTCATTTGTAGCTTCCCAGATGGGCCCTCTGAAAGTAGCTGACTCTCTCCTGTGTGCTGCAGGAGGCCAAAGGGCAGACCCTCCTTGCACACCGGCAGGAGAAGCAGCACCCTACCTTGTGCCGAGGGCCTTTCATCTGTCAGTCTTCAGCGCTCCATGCACAGCACTGAGCTCTCAAGGCCTCAGCCTCTCAGGCAGCACCATTATCTCTCTTTTATAGCCAGACACATGGCAAAACAAAAAATCACGTTGCTCACCAGATTATTTATCTACAGCGGCAAGGAAGGGCCAAGGACCCAGACGTGTTTGATTCTTCAGCTTGTAAAAATACATATCTTTTGATTAGTAGCTCCTTTCCTATAGCAAAGTCAGAGCAGGGTCCCCTTGGGGTGGGTGGATGGCCCCCTATTCAAACACAGCCACCTGACTGGCTCTGTTGCTGTCAAATCTGTGTCCTGTGACCAGGCTGCACAAGTGGTTTCATTCCTTCCTCATCACTCTAACCATGACATGCAGAGGACACCTGTAGTGTTTGCAAATCACTTACATAGGCTACATGGAAAATAAACTGAATCTAAATTCACTGGGAGCCAGGATAAAATATTTTATTAATGCCGAACAAAGCTCTACATCTAAAAACTCTGGGTGAAAAAAAAACTTAACGATTTCTTCCCAGCATTAGATATCCAAGAGAAAAGGAGTAAGGCAAGTGGAACATTTCCTTCACTTTGCTTGGAGCAGATGAGAACAGGTGCTGGGTTTACTTGTGAAATGGACAGAGTCACATTGCTTGTTGTCCAGTCACGTCAGATTAACATGCTGGGAGGTGGGTTCTTGTCCACGGGGTATTAGGTAATATGAAAGTCCACTATAGCAATATTCACACACACAAAAAGATTCTTCTTGAGGTCTGATTCACTGTGGCAAAAATGTATGGTGCCTTCAGTGTACAAGACATTTGGGGGTCAGACCTGACCCTCATCGGGCCTTCATCCTAAGACACAGACCCCAAGAGCTGTCACTGCGGTGACCACATTAAGCTGAAAATAGGAGAGTGTAGCCTGATGAAAATCTTTTTTTTTTTTTGTCCTTGAGAAACTCTCATAAAGATATAAAATAAATCTCATTCAGTTGATGATGAATACTGATGATGAGTACATTTCTTATAGCGGCAGGGTCTGAAGGTCTCATGAATGTGGACTTCCTCTGCGCATTCTCTGATTAGGTGAGGTTCCAGGGAGGGATGCAGGAGGCACTCTGGGACCCAGCACCAGCCAGTGCCATGCCCAGCAGCGGATCTTTCAAAGCCCCACCAGGGCTGTGGCAGGATACACCACGGAGTGCTGGGCCTCATCCTCACACGGCCACCAGTTTTGTTTTGTTTTTTTTTTTTTTTTTTTTGGTACGTGCCCCTAGCGGACACCGAACCCAGGACTCTCTGGTCCACAGGCTGACGCTCCAACTGCTGAGCCAAACCGGCCAGGGGATGTTTTCTGTTTCATTTGGGATTTTGTTGTACATTTTTTTTTAAATGTAATTACACAAGTAACATGCAGCCTCAGTAGAAAAATCATAGCCAAAAAAAAGCAAAAGTGCAGTGATAAAAATTACCATCATCCCACCACTCAGAACACTTGTGAATATTTTGGGGTTCACCCTTCCAGACAGTTGAATAGAAAGGGGATTATCCTGTACTCACCATTTTACAATTTGCTTTATTTTTCTGATGCCCAGTTTTTATATTATTTGAAGTCTCTTTGTCCTCTGGGCCTTGATGTTTGCACCTACCAAATAAGCCGGTTATATAATTTTCCTGTCATTCACTCTCTTCTCTGGCCATATCCATCTATCTATCCATCCATTGTGCCCCTGAGCCAGGTGCCAAGGAGACAGTGGTGAATAGAGCCAAGTCTCTGCCCTTCCGGCTCACAGTTCAATGAGAGAGAAAAGGAGAAACAAAATCAACACTAGAGTCTATAGGAAGAGCTTAGAGGAGGAACAGACCAGGGACAAGGGAGCAAGCAGGGTGCTGTTTCAGGCAGGTGGGTCCAGTACTTTGCACACTTTGCCCTTCACCCTCACAACTCTGCAGGGCCATGTTATTGTCCTCATCTTACAGTTACCATAGCTGAGGCCCCAGAAGGGCAGCACTTGCTCAAGGTTGTACAACCACCGACACGAATGGAAACGCAGACCTTGTCCATCCCTGAACCTGTGCACCTGCCAGAGCCCCCGCTTCTCTCCACACTTACTGAACGGGGATGTGCTCATTAGGATGGAGTAGTGCCCGGTGGCACTGGGGAGGGAAGACATCCTTGGCAGAGATGCTGGCAGAGCAGGCTTTGTTTGGCCTGGGAACTGGGGCCGCCTTAAATATACAATGCCCAAGGAAATACCCAAAGAGGAATTTGGCTGGGGACTGGGGTTGGGGTGAAGGGTAGGGGGGCTCTCCCCTCTCTTGTGAAGGCTCA